CTCTATCACCCCATCCCAGCTGACCTGAGGTGCATTAAATGCTTGTTTTTGTGTGCCACAGAGATCTTTGGAGTTGTTTGTTACTCAGCGATAGTTGACTGATATAGAGGGATTCAGTGAATGTCTGAATACTGAACAGGGTCACTCCAGCCACCTCCCCTGGTCCAGTTCAGGAATGCTAGCACTCAGGCATGTACTCATCCTAGACAGAAAACTGTGGAACATCCCAGTGAAAGGTTTTTACAGATGCTGATACCTGGTGGCATTTGGATGTCCTTTACAGGGGATCCAGCTGTCCTTACAAAGATGTTCACTATTTTGCAAGCCCTGGCTTCCTGCATGGGCTCCCAGTTCAGCTTTTATTGCTTCATTCTGAAAAATGAATGGGTAACAAAAGATGACCATACAATTGAGGAAAGCTCTAACATGAAAGAGACCCAATCAAACAAATAGAAAAAATGAACTAGTAAGAAATAGAGACAATGTAGTGTTCAAAAGAAAATGTCAAAGAAACCCTAGTTGCTATCTTTCAAGAGATAAGGAAAGATATTATATCCACAAATAAATTCAGAAAGCTGTAACAAAGGAATAATCAGAAAATAGAGCAGAGCTCTTAGAACTTAAAAATATGTTAATTAAAATTTTTTAAAAATAGAAAAGTTGGACGAGAAAAAGTGAACAAAACAAGTGCCCAAACAAAAACATCCCAGAAGGTAGATAAGATGGTAAAAGTAAACAAAAAATTAAAGGATTATTCTAAGTGGTCAATAGTCAAATAATAGGAGTTCCAGAAGAAAACAATAGAAAAATCTTTCCCAGAATTGAAGAACACAAATCTTCAGATTAAAACAATTCACTGAATGCTCCAAATACTTGGTGCTAGGGTGGGAGGAGGGGACACATCCGAAATATTATGAAATTTCAGAAACTTAGGTATAAAGCAAAGATCCTAGAAGCACTGGAATAAGGAAAAAAACTACTTAAAGTTACATGCAATGGATTGAGAATAAGCATAGTGCTGGAAGCTAGAGATATGGACAGATGCCATCTACCATCTGAGTCAAAGTGATTCTCAACCTGGAATTCTATACCCAGCCATGCTATCAATAAGTATGAGAGGAGAATTAACTAGTTTCAAACATGCACACATTCTCAGGAAGTTACTGGAGGACGTATGCCAACAAAATAACAGAGTAAACCAGGATGATTCAATAAATGGGGTCTAACATGGGAAAAAATGAAGGGAATGTCTGATATGATGATGGTAGAGAGAGAATCTCAGGGTGTCAACTATACATGGGCAGAGAGGACAGCTGGGATAGATCTGAGGAGTTTAGGAATTTCCAAGAAAAAATTCTCACTGAGCTCAGCCCCTGGAAATTCCACTGAGGCTTTTATGAAGCCGTGGGAATATATGGAAATACTTGGTCCTAGAAAATTAAGATTAAAAAAAACACAAAAAACGTAACTAAGCAAATGCAAAAACAAAGCAATTATTAACTCCTGGCTAAGCAGGAAATAATATTTACATAATATTCATAATGGAAACACTGAATATGCCTTTAACAGGAAATTATATTATGCTGAGAGGATGGGGAGAAGGGATGAGAGTGTGTAAGAAATCTAAAATCCTCACCTACAATAATAGGAAATCAATAGATAATGGGTGAAACTTGGGAGTTAAGAGATTGAAAAACAAACCCAACCTTTAACAGGATGGAGATAAATACAAGGAGAAATAATCAGGAGGGTGGAATTGCTTCTGGGATATGGTGTGGGTCAGGGTCATGGGAGGACTGCTATTTTTTCATTTTAAGTCTTTTTGGCACTATTTGTTTTTAAAAACTTAGTTGTAAATAGTACTTTGATAATAATAAAAGCAAATTAAAAATAATTTGCATTCCAGAGAAGAACCAGAGGAGGGAGTGTCAGAGAATAGGAAGGCTTTGGAGCAGCTGATGCCTTAATCTGTTGCAGGATTAAGAGAGGGACAGGGAATTGTCTGTGCAAAGGGTATGGGGCATGTGTGAGGTTCAGACTGAAGGCCTTGATGCTGTAGAAAGAGAGTAAGAGGCACATGGGAAGGGAAGCAGGCATAAGCAGGTTACGAGGGGTACTCAGGCCACGGGTGGGATTGTGAATTTCATTCTACAGCAACAGGTGGCCCTGGGGGCTTGTCTCAAGGAGGAAGCAACTGCTGTGAGTTGCTTTTAACAGTCTCACTCTCCCTCCTGAGGGCAGAAACAGGGCAACCAACAAGAGGTGATGGTGGCTTGGCAGGAGGGAGCCCCAGAGTATGGAGGGCAGTGGTCAGGTTAGAAGGCTGAGTTTGAGCTGAAGCCGTAAGACTTGATGTTGGGGCAACGAGCTGACAGGCATTTCCTTCATTTGATCTTCACAAGAACTGTGCAACTAGGCGGGAAGGTGGACATTTTCCACTGAAGAAAAAAGTTCACAGAGTGGTTTCACAAAGTCGTGCTGCCCGGTCTCTTAGCCTGGTTCCCGGCACCACAGATGAGGAGTGGGAGGGTCACACTAACATGTAGCTTTCCGTGTCCTTGGGAGCTGCTGCGTAAAGGGGTTAACTAATTCTATCCTTGCAGCAGCCCTGTGCAGTAGGTACTGAAGATGAGGGACTGAGGCTCAGAGAGGTTAAGTCACATATCCAAGGTCACACAGCCAGTGAGTGGAGAAGCTAAGATTAAACCCCAGCAGGAGCCCCCAGGGGCTGTTAAACCAGAGGACACCCTTAACAGGGACTCCAGCGACAAAGCCACAGGGGCTAAGCTGTGAAGGTGTTTTGGCTCAACCCATTTCATTTGAGAGGACAGGCCTCAGCGTCAGTAGCCGAGGCCCCTACTCTGCACAGCGGTCAGCTCTTGCTGAGGTATTGTGGGAGAGAGGGGAGAGGTGGGGGCTCTGTCCTGGCTCTCAGGGATGGGTGCTCCTGGAAAACCACCTGTCCGACGGCACAGGCACCACTGTTGGTCCTGGTGGGCCCCCCAATCTGAGAGAGATGGCCCTAATTCTGTGGAGGCCAGGGTCTGATGGGGGAGACATACTGATGTCCTATCCCATGAAGACAGGCCAGGGGGTCCCTCTGGGGTACCAGGCACAAGTGACAGCACTGGCATGCGAGGTCCAGCTTGAGGTGAGAGGCTCTCATGCTCAAGGACCTCCAAGCCAGTCAGAGAGGGGCCACCCCACGGCCCCCAGACCCCAGTGGCCCCAGCTCCCCAGGGCCCACAGGTGTGGAGCCCCACTTCCTCTTTCTACCCTGCCACCCCCAGGAGGAGGAGCTGATCAGGGGCCCCAGGGGCCCTTCTGCTCAGGGCAGGTTCCTGGGTGGGGGTCGGTGTCTGGCTCAGGTCACACCTGCCCCCAGCCTGGAGCCCAGGACCCCTCCCCACCTCTAGCAGGCCTTCTGCAGATACCCTCCCGTCTCCTGCCACCCTGCCGCCAACTGTCCATCTATTGCTTTTTCTTCATTAGACATGCAGCAAATGCCACCTCATGCCAGGCTGGTGCCAGGCCTGGGGACATGGTGGGACACACAAAGTCTGCCCTTCTGGAGCTCACAGCCCAGCACAGAAGACATGGAAATGAAAGTCTCATGGGCTTGGACTTGAGGCCTGTGGGAGACACTGGGAAGTGTGGGGGAGGGGCCTAGACCATGGAGGGGGGCCTCTAGGAGGAGGCGCCTTGCACATAGGGGTGTGTGGGGTGTGTGAGGAGAGCACTCTGGCACAGCCCCTCAGGGAGAATTGGATTCCTGGTACTCCGAGGGCTACCACACACTAACCCTGGGGACCTCAGGACAATGCAGGTACAGCCCTCATCCTGAGGAATGGTTCGCTGTGGAAAGGCGCCTGGATGTGGTGCCTGGCACACAGTAGGTGCTCCACAAAGATGCATTTCCTTTCCTTCTCTGCCTGCTTCTCACCTTGCCCTCCTGAGAGAGGCTGTTTGCGTGGGCAGGAGCATACCTTTGGCACGAGGCCGCTTCTCCACTCATGGCATGTGTGACCGGAGCAACCTGGCCCCCGCTCTGAGCCCCAGCTTCCCCAAGTGCACACCAAATGCACTACTACTGCTCACCGTGCGGGCAAGGAAGCAAGGGGATGTGCGTGAAGCAGCCAGCTCGAGATGAGGGCTTAATAAAAATGGCTGGCATGACTGACTGACCCTTAGGGTTTGTAGTGCGCACATCGAAAGGGACGCTAGGAATGATCTTGTCTGACCTCCCCACCATCCAGTGAGGAAATTGAGGCCCAGAGAAGGGACACCCGGCCCACAGTCACATCCATCAGCACAAGCGGGGGCACAGTGTCCTGGAGCAGCCAGGCCCCTGCTCAAGCCCCGGTCAGAGCATCTTAGGCCAGGGGTTGGCAAAGCTGGCCCAGGAGCCAGATCTGGCCCACTGCTTGGTTTTGTAGAGCCAGCTGGCTAAGAATGGATTTCCTAAATGACCATTTGTAATCATTTGACAGTAGGAAATACTAACTTTGAACTAAAATTAAGCGACCCCCCCCAGAGAATTCCACCCTTCCCTTGGCCCCAAAAGCCTGAAATATTTACTCTTCACCCTGTCCTTTCACTCCTCAGCCTGCACAGGGCTCTCCAGAATCAACCAGTCTCAGGACCAATGACCCCCCACCTGGCTTTCCTCTGTGGCTGTTGTCCATCTGTAGACAATGAGCCAGGAGAGCAGGACTGTGGACTCCCAACACAGTGCTCCCCCTGTGAGTGATCCAGCCCTCCCCTCGTTACTGCCCAGTCCCACATCTGCCTGGCCCGGGTCCCAGCTGTCATCCTGGGGGATGGGTGCCACCATGGCCTAGGGGGCGTCCAGATTCCCTGAGCACCACGCTCTTCTCTCCATCCCCCTGCGGGAGCCAAGGCCAGCGTGGGTGGCTGGGATCTCCGCAGTAATGGGGTTGGCCCCCCTTCCAGCCTCCCCTCCTAACCTGCGCCCCTCCTCCCTCACCCTGGCACCCGCTCCCCGGCCCCTCCCACACCCCCCTTCCTTGGCTCTCCGTGTCACCATCTGTGGCACAATCCTTCTCTGTCACTCTCCTGCCACCCCCTCCTCCTCCTTCCCGGCTCGCTGTCCCTGCCTCCCCATCTCTCCCTCTCGCCCCTTCTCCCGCTCTCTCTCCTGCTCCTTCTCTCCTGTCACGCAGTTCTCACCGCTCCCCCCCATTCTGGCTTCCACCCACTCACTGTCTTCTCTCTCTCTCCCTCCACCTCCGACCGACCCCCCTTTCCCCTCTATTTCTATTGGCGTCTCACAGTTCCCCGCTTCCCTTCTCTCTTCCTTGGGAGGCGTCTCTCTCCCTCTCCCCACCCCCCAGCTCCTGCCTGCAGACCCCCCATCTGGGCCCCTGCCTGCCGCCTCCCCAGGACGTGTCCTGGAAATGGAGGGTGATGTACCAGGCGCCCGTGGGAAGTCAGGGCTGGAGGCCAGAGAGAGGCTCTGTGGGCAGAAGTGGCCGCCGCGAGCCTAGGAGGGGGCCTGGGCCCACAAGCGGTCTAGAAGTGGGCACTGTGTGGGGACCCTGGCTAAGGGGTGCTCTGGGGGCACCTGGGCACTGGGCAGGAAGAGGGGCAGCAGAATGATAACTGGCTTGGCGGCGAGAAGGGAAGCTGTCACCCAGTGGGCAGGTAAGGAGGCTGGGGCCTGGGTGGGGACCTGGACAGTGGGGTGCTGGAGCCCACCCTCTGCTCAGGATGTACTTGGGAGGCTGGGGCTGGAGGCCCAGGGAGAAGGAGGCCTTCCTGTGCCCTCTTGGTGGGCTGTGGGGGTTTGGGGAATGTTGATCTTGGAATCTCAGGCCATAATTCTAGAATCTGGGAGCTACAGAAGAGCAGAATGTCAGAGCCGGAAGAAACCAGATGCGGCATGTTGTTCGGCCTCCTCAGCTTCCGTGCCAGCTTCCTGGGCTGCCCCTCTGTGCTGGGCACTGTGCTCAGCACACTCCCATTTAATCTTTACAACAACTCTGGGATGTGGGTACTCCTGTCTTCATTTTAATAGGAAGAAACACATCTCCAGAGATGGGAAGGGACTTGCCCAAGGTCACCCAGTAATTTGGCATTATCACTCCATGGGAGGTCCCAAGCCTCCAATCTAGGGCTTGTGGGGTGAGTTCCTGGGGATCAGACCCCCGCTGTGGGGTGGGAGTTGGTCAGTGTGACTAGCACAATCCGGGGCTCTCTGGGGGAGGCCCAGGGTAGCAGAGGTCAAGCAGAACGCAGAGTCAGCCAAGGGCATCAGCCTGCATGGTTCAGGGCTGCCCAGCCCTTGGTTTCTCGCAGCCTGAGGCCTTCGGGGAAGCCGGCAGGGCCAGGAGGTACTGATTATTTAGGAACAGACAGAACTGGATTTGAATTCTGGCCTCCCACTCGCTAGCTGGGTGACTTTGTACAAGTTACTAAACTTCAACTCTCTGAGCCTCAACTTCCTCCTCTTCAAAAACCTTTCCTCCTGGGTTTTGTGAGGATTTCATGATGTGAGTTTGACGCCTCTGCCCAGGAGGAACACTCCACCGTGCTCAGAGCCCTGCTTGCTGAATTCCTGGGTTTGTTCTTATTTGCCAGAGTTCCAAGGACTGGGCCAGGGGCTGAGGCTAAAGAAGTTAATAGCTCTGGGCCCCTGTACCCAGGAGCTGGCTCTCCAGAGGGAAAAGGTGGGAGACAGATGGAAAATACCTGGGGTGTCTGGCCAACCTGAGGGGCCATCCTGAATTACTGTGTGGCCCAGGGCAGCCACTCACCCTCTCTGGGCCTCTGTCCCCACCCAAATAGTTATCTGAGGAGTCCGCCCCCAGCTTTCAGGCAAGCTTGTGCCAAAGATAAACCAGACAGGGAGGAAAAGGCCCTCCTCCCCGAGGATGAACTAGATCACGCACAGGATTCCAGCTCCTTAAAGACAAGGCAGGACCCAAATTGCAGGTCTGGCTTATGCCTGCGGAAAGCTTAATTTCCCAGCTTCTGGCAGCCTGCCTGTTAAACTGACAGGGAAGATGGGCCCAAATAAGGGTGGAAGCAGGGCATCTCGGTTGAGGGGCAGCCAGGAGCTTTGGGAGGGGCTGTTTCATCCTCTGGCACTAAGGCAGGGCCAGGCTGGGTACACTGCGTCCCTCCAGGGCACATGTGCCTATGGGAGGGCATGTGTGTGCCTAGGAGGGGGGCTCTTCCCAGAGCTCAGCCCAGGCTTCCCTGCGGGCATCTGTCCCTGAAGCCTGGAAACTGGGTTGGCCCAGCTCATTGCCCCTCTCTTGGGAGCCTGGCTCTCCCCTTCCTCCAACAGCCCTAGGTTGTGATTGGCTGCCTGTGCTATACAGAGGATGTGGGCACAGGGAGGGAGGAGGCCTGGCAGGAAGCCAAGACTCCGAGGTTCCAGAGTCCATAGTTCCAGGTCTAAGGAGGGCCACTTCCAGCATTCTGGAATTCTGACCTTCTCTGATTCAACGGCATGGAGTCTAAAAATCTATGACTCTACAAATCAGTTCTAAGAATCTAAAGTTCTATTTTTAGGCTTCTAAGATTCTAGGGGTTTGAATCTATGATCCTAATAGTTCAAGGGCCTGAGGAACAGCAAGGGGAGCTCAGAACAGGCCAGTGGCGGAGCTGGGTGCCAGCTGGGTACTCTGACCAGCTGTGATGATTACGCAAGTGCCTCCTCCAGTCCAGCCTCAGTCTGCCGTCCTGTGAAATGGAAGGGGGTGGGGTGGGCTCAAGGGTCCTGCCAGCTCTGCCCTTCCTAGCTGTGTGACCAGAGCACATGGCTTCACTTTTGTTCCCTGTCTGTGTGGTGGGGACAGTGTAGTGCCTTCCCTGTCAGATCCCTCTGGATGCTGCACATCACCAGCTTCCCCTGCAACCTGGCAGCTAGGGCCAGCGACAAGGAGCTGGCAGCACTGTGACCACTGTCCGTTAGTGCCACTGTTGCAGGCTCAGGAGGGCTGATGAGGGCCCAGGGTGAGGACAGGTTGGGGGGCTCCCCCAGGGCCTGGAGGAGCAGGAAAAGGTGCAACTGGGGCAGCATAAGGAGGAGTCATGGCCAAGGGGCTCATTGCCATTTTCGGCATCACCAGCCTGTTTCGGAGCCCTTGGAAGCCGCAGGTCCTTGTGCAGGGGGAGCAGGCATGCCACCCACCCAGAAGTCTTTGCTCCAAGTTGGGGTACCTCCCCTTTGCAGGAGCTTTGCCTCTTGAAAGTAGTGTCTGGAGAGGGCCCACAGGAGGGGGTTCGGACCCAGCGCTGGGTCAGAGGGAGGACACTGGAGGGAGGGCCCCTCCTCTGAGAGCTTGCTTTCTCCCTCGGGACTTTCTGCAGGGAGTCAGGAGCCAGTGGGGAACCAGGGGACCTGGACTCCAGGCAGGATCATTAGGAAGGAGGGGTGGGCGTAGGCTGTGGCCCCAGAGGAGGCTCCAGCTTTCAGCCTTGGCCTCTAACTGGGCCTTCTGAAGCCAGGAAGTCCTGCTGGGGGAGGCCAGCAGATCCTGTGGTGGGTGGCCTTTCCAGTAGGGCCTGAATTTCCACTATCAACAATCCATTCCCACTTCATGCTAAGTATTGATCACTCAGGATTCCTCTGATTCATTCAATGTGTCAAACACTGATGCAGAGCTTGTGCTCATGTGAAAGTGAGCAGGGAAAAGTTCAAAGGCAAGTAAAAGCGTCCCCACCCTGAGAGAGAGTCATGTCTGGCCAGGGGGCCAGAAGAGGCCTAGCTCCTTATAATTACCGGGAGAGGTGGTAAGAAAAGTCAATGGAGCTGCTCTTGGGCAAGCTCTTATTCATCCTTCAAGACCCACGTGAAATGCCCTCTTCCTGGGGAAGCCTGCCTCACTGGCACACGGTGGGGAGGTGGCTGCTCAGGTACCCACCTCCAGTATGTAGCCAATTTCTCCACAAGAAAGCCTCTTGGGGAGAAGGGGCCCTAGCCTCCCACCCTGCAGGTTCACAGGGCCTTTGTGGGGGTGCAGTGGGCTGGGCTGGGCTGAGAGGGTCCCCAAGGGTTCTGACCCCAGGGGAGGGGACACCCTGTGTCTGTGGTTCTTAATTCCATTTGGAATCTGAGGAATCTGATGAAAGCTCTTGGGTGGGGGGGGCTCTGTTCAAAAAATACACACACACATTAACTTTCACCAGAGTTTTGAGGGTTCACAGATCCTCTGAAGCTTATCTAGAGACCCACCTTCCAGGTTGAGGACCTATGATATGCAACCATATTTTTCAAATGTCGAGATTTTTTGGTGGCTGATAGTGTCTGTTCAGGCTGCCGTAACGGAATGCCACAAGTTGACTGGGTGGCAAATAAACAACAGAAATTTTTTGTTTCTCACTGTTCTGGAAGCTGGGAGTCCGAGCACAAGGTGCCAGCACGGTCACTCTCTGCTAAGGGTCCTCTTCAGAGCTGTTGCCTTCTCACTGTGTCCCAGCATGGAGGGAGGGGCAAGGAAGCCCTTGGGAGCTTCTTTATAGGGGCACTGATCCCAATCCTGGGGATTCTTCCCTCATGATCTAATCACCCCCCAGGGGCCCAACCTCCAAGTACCATCATCTTTGGGAGTTCGGATTTCAACATATGAATTTAGTGAAGGACACATTTAGTCTGTCACAGTGGGTGATCCACGTGGGGCTCTGCCAACTGGGGCATTGTATGTGGAAAGGGCAAGCATTGCTTTATGGCATGGGTTGCAATGTAAAATGCAATGGTGTCAAAATGTTTGAAAAACACTGGCATAGAGGAAAGGGCCTTTGTCATCATGGCTGATTGAATGACCCATTCATCCCTACATCGGCGTTTGGGAGCACTCACCCTGCACACAGGGATACAGTGGTGCACAGGCCAGCACTGGTGCCTGCCCTTTGGAGCCAGGCAAGCCCACATCCCACGCCATACATGGGCTGTGTGATACATGGCGGTCACTCTACCTCTCTGAGACTCATGTGAGAAGTGAGAATGTCCAGCTGGCCCACCTTGCCAGCCTGGGCAGACTGAGCTGGTGCATGTCACACCTGGCCAGGCACCCAGTAAGCCTCCAAGTTCAGTGTGATGGGGTAGGGGCAGTGGAGAGAAAGCTATCTTCTGATGGAGCTCTGTCCTTCCTCCCCTAGGCCAGTAGCTGACTGCTGACTGCCCTCCCCTCAGCCATGGACACGCCTTCATTGGTGCCCATGACCTTGGAATCTGGGAATGCCTCCTCCACCTGGCCCCTGGCTGCCACCCTGGGAAACGTGTCAGGGGACCCCAGTGCAGCAGGGCTGGCTGTCAGTGGCGTCCTCATCCCACTCGTCTACCTGGTCGTGTGCGTGGTGGGCCTGCTGGGCAACTCTCTGGTCATCTACGTGGTCCTGAGACACACGGCCAGCCCATCGGTCACCAATGTCTACATCCTCAACCTGGCACTGGCTGATGAGCTCTTCATGCTGGGGCTGCCCTTCCTGGCTGCCCAGAACGCCTTGTCCTACTGGCCCTTCGGCTCCCTCATGTGCCGCTTGGTCATGGCCGTGGATGGCATCAACCAGTTCACCAGCATCTTCTGCCTCACGGTCATGAGTGTGGATCGCTACCTGGCAGTGGTACATCCCACCCGCTCAGCCCGCTGGCGCACGGCGCCCGTGGCTCGCACGGTCAGTGCGGCTGTCTGGGTGGCCTCAGCCGTGGTGGTGCTGCCTGTGGTGGTCTTCTCTGGTGTGCCCCATGGCATGAGCACCTGCCACATGCAGTGGCCCGAGCCGGCAGCGGCCTGGCGTGCCGGCTTCATCATCTACACAGCCGTGCTAGGCTTCTTCGGGCCGCTGCTGGTCATCTGCCTCTGCTACCTGCTCATCGTGGTGAAGGTGCGCTCAGCGGGGCGGAGGGTGCAGGCACCCTTGAGCCAGCGGCGGAGGCGCTCCGAGCGCAGGGTCACGCGCATGGTAGTGGCCGTGGTGGCACTCTTCGTCCTCTGCTGGATGCCCTTCTACGTGCTCAATATCATCAACGTGGTGCGCCCACTGCCCGAGGAGCCTGCCTTCTTCGGCCTCTACTTCCTGGTGGTGGCACTGCCCTATGCCAACAGCTGTGCCAATCCCATCCTTTATGGCTTCCTCTCCTACCGCTTCAAACAAGGCTTCCGCAGGGTCCTGCTGCGGCCTTCCCGCCGCGTGCGCAGCCAGGAGCCTCCCGTGGGGCCTCTGGAGAAGACTGGAGAGGATGAGGATGAGGATGGGGAGGAAGACAGGGAGGAGGGGAGTGGAAAGCAGGGACAAGGGGAGGAGATGAATGGCCAGGTCAGCCAGATCTCCCGGCCTGGCACCAGCGCACCAGAGCGGCCACTCAGCCGCACGGCCAGCAAGGAGCAGCAGTTTCTACCCCAAGAGGCCTCAGCTGGGGAGAAGTCAAGCACCCTGCACATCAGCTATCTGTAGGGGCCTGCAGAGGGCCAGGGTGGCCAGAGGATGAGGCAGAAGCTGTGGGTGCACCTAGGAACTTCTGCCCATGGTGTCAGTGGCTCATGGTGGGCTCTGATCCCATTGCTGCTGAGACTTGCTGTGTGGCCTTGAATAGGTCACTTCCCCTCTCTGGGCCCCCTGTTCTCTTCTGTGACTTAGGGGTAGGGGTGACCAGCCTAGATGAGGTCTGTCAGGTGAGAGGCCTGGAGTGCTATCACCACTGGGATGTCCTTCCTACGTGGGGCCCAGGTTAAGGGGAAAGGTGCAGACCGGCTTTCCTCCTCGGAGACAGAGCGTCCTGGTGGGTCAGCCTGAGTCTTGGACCTTAGAGGGATAAACAAAGGCCTGAGTTTCCTGGGCTCAGAGTCAGGTTCACAGGAGAGGGGCCGGGGCCGGGAAGGTCCCCCTAGTGGGGTGGGAAGGAGGGTGGGAGGCCCAGGCTGCCGCAAGGCCGTGGCTCAGCCCTTTTCTTTTCTGGGGCTCAGGCCTCACCTGCTGAACCCCTGGCCCAAACAGTCAGGGCTGGGACCCCTGTGCTCTAGACATGATGAGAGGAGATAGATTTCCCAGGAAATTTCCAGCTTCAGGGTCCCTTACTGCCTGGGCCTTTCTGAGGCCCTGCATCTAATTTTTATCTGTACTTTTATATTTCTTTTCTTAAAGAGTGACCCCAAATTGCATAAGCTTAGGCCACCCAAAGCCTAGCTCAATCCTACAGTGTCCTGTGGTTGCAGGTGGGTGGCCCTGGGTCTTTGACAGGGCCACGCAGCCCTGGCCTTCCCCTCCCAGAGGGCCAGGTAGACTGGCGTGGAAAGTGTCTAAACAGCACAGCCCGGAGGAGGACGAGGACGGCGGTGGGGGGCGGAGGTCAGAAGCGGCCGTGACCCGGGTGCCCCCCCCACCGGTCCCTCTGCGCTGAGCGTAGTTGCGGCGTCCATGGAACTGGGTTGCTCCTGCCTGGCCTCTTCAGTCTCAAGGATGCACGTGTGATCAGGACAGGAAAGCAAACGCTCAGGAAGGTAGGGGCCAGCCCCCTGGAGGGCCTGGTAAGGAAGCCTGGACCTTGGTGGGGGCCTGGGGACAGAGCTGAGAAGCAGGGCCTGGGGCCTGAGGAGCAGGCCTCCCTGTTTTCTGCATTCCTGGGGCTACAGTTTAGGAGACCCAGGAAAGGTAAGGCAGTAAAAGGCCGCTGTCCAGGGCTGGACTCCCAGCCAGAGATGAGTGAACCGGCCCCACGGAGAGTGGAACCTCAGGTTACATCCCCAAACCCTCTACCCCGCAGGAGGGGGGGGCATCCTCAGGGAAAGCATGTGAACCATGAGCTGTGGGACCCAGATAGCCAACCCTCCTCAGGATCCTAGCTTTGACCTCTCTGGGCCTCAGTTTCCCCATAAGAAACTGGATGTAGTTGCCTGCCTCCTGGGATTTGGGGGAGGAAAATGAGTCATACTGGGTAGGCTGCCATGCATACTACAATGGGGGGCATGTGCAGAGGGACATACAGATTATATAGTGGAGGTAGCCTCCTGCCAGGCTTGGCCTACACCCTGTTCTCCATCAAGTAGCCTGTCTCCTGTCCTATCCTTGGGGGTGAGGACACTGCTGGAAGTGAGAAAGGGGGAGTTGGGGTAAGAAGCCAAAGATCAGGGAAGCAGGGCTTGTGGGGGAGAGGCGCCCTCTCATGGGGGAGCAAGTTCACAAAACCAGACTTTGTGTGGAGGCCGGGGGCCAGGCCCTCCTCCCTTGGGGAGGTTCTGGGGGTCTGAGGCAAGAGGGCCTCTGGCATTCCAGCATTCTTTGGCCAGCGCTGCCTTCCTGATTCCTGGGGCAGGTGAGCCTGTTCTGCAAGGGTGGCTGGAAGAACCCTTAGGGGAATTCTTTGCTGCTTCTGCCCTTAGCTCTTGTCAATAAAGACGGCAACACATGACAACAGCCATTGTCTGGCTTGATTCTTCTGCCCGGAGCTGCGTCTATATCCTTGTGTATGAGTGGGTATGTGTGTGTGTGCCCACCTCTGTCAGGATCCTCCCTCTATTCATCTCTCAGCTCTCTGTGCCCAGGCCTCTTTGTGTGACCTCGCAGAGTCCTGGTCCTCCAGGTGAAATGGGAGATTCCCCTGACAAGCCTCAGCCTACATCCTAACAGATCTTGGTCCCACAGCAGGAGGTATGTCCAAAGATCAGATCTCATGGAGGAAAGTTGATTGGCACCATCTGGATCACATGAGGGGCCCTTGGGCCAAACACCAAAGACAAAGTGATAGCGTGCCATCATTGGCTAGGTATGGGTCACATGCCCATCTTTCCAGCCAGAGAGAAGGTGGGGCACAGTCTGGCTTGACTAATGGGATAGGGAGTGGGTTAGGGACAGACCCCAGGGGCAAGGGGTGCAAGCTACGTGGCAACAGCACATTGGGTGCGTGTGTGAGCACTGTGCAGGGCACAGAGTGGGTGGTCAGAGCATCTCAGCCTTTTCCATGAGTCAATATGTGTTGGGGTGTTAACCCCCAGGGGCTGCTGTGCATGCGGCAGGTGTGCATGGGCGGGGAGCACAGGGGCTGCTGGGGGCAGAGCTTTGTGTAGGCGTGGTGCCTGGGCCAGGGTCCCTGCTCTGGATCCTCGAGCCCTCTGAGCTTACCCACTATGCAGCCTGTCACTGCTCACTGTGATGCTCACAGGCACCCACGTGTGTGGGTATCCCAAGGAGGATACCAGGCAGGGACTTGTCCCTCCAGGCCGGGACTGGTGCCTGGTGCGTCTGTGATTCTCAGAGTCTGGCAGCACCACAGGCCCTTCATATGAGTATTTGGAATAAATGAATGAAAGGAGGGAATTCCATTTCACAACTCCAGGGGGCAATTTTTACACTGTGACTCTAGCCTCCTTTGGATTTGTGTAACATAGTGACCCTGCATAAATGGAGGGAAGGAGGGATGAAAGGAACCTGTATGGAGGCTTGGGGCTGGAGTTTGTGGGTTATTGGAACAGCAGGGGCTGTAGGGCTACAGGCTCTGGGGTTGTGAACCCCAGCAGGCAGGAAAGGGTGTTGATGACTCTCCCTGCCTCACTCCCTCCAGATATCCAAGTTGCTAAGACCCACGGCCTTACATTGAACTTGTCTCTCAGAGGTGGTTGCCAGGCAACAGCCCATGGCCACCAGGCTCTGGACCAGGACTTCATGCGTCAGCATCTGCAGAGAGGAGCTGGGAGTCCCCAGGGCCTGGGGTAGGGGAAGCCAAGGCCAGGGTAGGATGGGGGGGCTTCAGGCCCTCTTCACCTACAAGGGGTGGGGTTGACGGAGGACCTGTCCCATGGGGAGTTGACAGCCTGGGCTCCGTAGGACTCCAGACCTAGAAGGACAGAATCTAAAGTTGGCAAGAACCCCAGGCTATTATGTGAGGGGCACTCCCTGGGGTTGCCTAAGCCCACCGCCCCGCAGAGGCCTCACTGTGCTTCCCTGTCCCTGACAGGCCTGGGTGAGACTTTAAGCGAGTCCACGGCAAGGCTGTGGGGGAAATGCCTCCCCTAAAAGCCAGGGGACCCAAAGTCAGGAGGCCTGGGCCTGCACCCACTCTGCCATGAACCTACTGTGCGGCCTTGAGCCAATAATGTCACTTATCTGGGCACAGCTCATTAAGCTAACAAAGGTTTTCCAGAGCCCCGACTGTATGCAAGACCCTGACGCTGGGCAGGGAACAGTGGGGGAAAACAGACCCAGTTCCTGGGCCCTTGTTGCTCACAGGCAAGCACACAAGTAAATGCGCCACTGCCTGAGGGGGTGGGAGATGCAGCTTGCTCTGGGGGAGCACAGCAGGGTGGGGGCTGCGCTGGGAGCAGAGGGGTAAGCATGTGCCAGACAGACGGAGCTGTGTGTGCTAAGGCTTTGAGGCTAGAGGAATGCAGTGAATGAAAGGGAGAAGGGAAAGGGTGGGGCCCAATTCAGGGGCAGAAGTTGTGTCAGACAGGATCTCCTAGGAGGTTAATTCCAGTTGTCGGCTGAATTGTGTTCCCCTCGCCCCACCCCCAAATTTCATACGTCAAAGTCCTAACCCCCACTACTTCCGGATGTGACCTATCTGGAAATGGGGTCACTGCAGATGTAAGTAGTTAAGATGAGGTCATACTAGAGAACGGGTGGGCCCCTAGTCCAATGATTGACATTCTTTTTTTTAAAATTTTTTATTAAGGTATAATTGATATACACTTTTATGAAGGTTTCCCATGAAAAAACAATGTGGTTACTACATTTACCCATATTATCAAGTCCCCACCCATACCCCAATGCAGTCACTATCCATCAGTGCAGCAAGTTGCCAGAGATCCACTATGATCGACATTCTTTAGAAAAGGGGAGATTTGAACTCACACATGCACAGGGAAAAAGTTGGGGCAATGCTTCTACGAGCCCAGGGGGAAGACAGGAAGATAGCTAGCACACCAGACGCAGGGAGATGGGTGTGGGACAGCCCTCCCTCACACCCTCAGAAGGAAGCAACCCTGCTCCACACTTTGATCTCAGACTTCTAGCCTCTGGAACTGTGAGACAATAAATTTCTGTTGTTTAAACCACCCAGTTTGTAGTGCTGTGTTACGGCATCCCGAGCGAACTAAGTCAGCCCCCACCTGCAAAAAGGAGAAGGTGCCTCCTCTCCGGTCTCCAGGGAACCTTTGGACTAACCCATTCATTCTTTCATTCAGTGTGTGCTGGGCTGTCGCCAAGTGCAGAAAGCTCAAGGCAGTGATGAAGTACAAGGCCCACCTTTCAGGGGTAAAGGGAGTCCCAGCAAAGAAAAGACATAAAGAGGCAGTTCTAAAGCACAGACTGCCTGTGTTTGAATCCCGGTGCATCCATTCACTAGCTGTTTGAACTTGAGCCAGTTAATTAACCTTTCTGTGTCTCCGTTTCCTTTCTGAGATGAAGACGAGAGCAGATGTTGCTATTGTCAGGAGGGTTAGGTGAGTTAATAAACAGTTTAGAACAGTGCCCAGTGCATCGTTCGTGCTATGTGTTAAATAAATGTGAGAAGTGCTTCCACAGAAGCAAGAACATGCCCGCAGATGGGTGTGGAAGTCTCCAAAGGTGGGTTCTAACAGCTGAGTGTACAGCTGTTTGTGCACAGGGAGTTCACGCACAAGGAAGGAGGCATGGAAGACATTTCCAGCTCTGATACCCAATCTTACAGCTGAAGACAGTAAGGCCGGGGATGGTTATGTGATTTGCACAGGATCTCAGCACTAGAGGCAGGACCAATCCTGTTTTCTCAGCCCCCAGTCCAGTGTCTATAGTTTTAAAAAAAACTATGAAATGAGGGCCGCGGTGGCAGGAGTGATGCTGGGTGGGAGAGATCTCTGACCACAGGGCAGGGGAAGTTGATGCCCTTGGGGAAGACCTGAAAGGCATGAAAGATCCTCCATCCCCTCCCAGAGGCCCAGCTACCCTCCAGCATGCCCTGCAGCCTTTGGTCGAAGCCTGCCTGGCAGGCCAGGGTGGTGTACACACAGGTGAGTGAAGGGCCAACTAATGCACACTTGTGGGTAGGAGGGGCAAGGTAAGTCTTTACTTTTTCACTGGTTCAAAGAAAATGCCCTGGCCACAGCTAGCATCCTCCAGGGTCCCAGACACCTCGGGTGCTGGCTTACACATTGCGGGAACACGGCCTGTGGGCAGCCAAGAGTCCATGTCCTCCACGGTGATTTGGTTACAGGCAGGGAAAATGAGGCCTGGGTGGCATGTGGCCTCTGGGGCCTGTTATCTGCTTTCATTACCAGAAAATACGTCAATATTTACCCATGGGAACTGCTGGCCCTGCTGCCCTTGATCAGCATGCCCCCAGAGCCTGCTTGGTTTCTCCATCCCTAAGAGGAGGGGCTGTCTCTGAGCTCCAGCCTTCTGTCTGCTCGTCCGACAGGGCCAGTCTCTCCTCCTTTCTGGCCATAATAAATGGCATCAGTTATGGGGAGAACAAAGCAAACACAGGATGCCTGTTTACATGCGCGGCAGTCAGCTGAGCTCTTGGCCACGCAATCAGGTTCCAATCCCAGCGTCACCTTGTTAATTCTTGAGTGTTTTCGGCCAGCCTAGGGACCGCTTGGAGTCTCAGTTTCCTCATCCGCAAAATGGGCTCCACACCCTGCTCTCACAGGACTGCTGCAGGACCTCGAAGCGGCTGTTGACTGGCTCCGACGACGCCAGCGCGGCTCTGGGTCCAGCAGGGGGCGCCGCGGGACCTCCCCTAGCTGCAAGCTCCTCTCGGCCGCACTTGCCTCCCTTCGGTCCACTCGGTCAGACTCGGCTATGTTCGGCTACACAAACCAGGCTCGGCCGGAGTCGGCTCTTCTCGACTGTCCTCGGCAACGCTCGTCCAGACTCGGCTCCGCTCGGCCAAATCGGCCTTGTTTAGCTGTGCTCTGCCTCTCTCTGGTCCGGACGCGCAAAGGCCCCGCCCCGGCGCCGCGGCGGCTCCCGTGTCCCTAGCTGGGACCGTGCACCCGAGGCCTGCTCAGAGTCTCCCCCTGGTGCCTCACGTGGGCTGGTTTCCTTGCGGCGGGGGTCCGGTGGGTCTGAGCCCTGGGTGACGCTGAGGGTGCTGCGAGCCTTTTCCCAGTGCTTGAGGCCAAACCGGTGGCCGTGGGGTCCGGGAGGCAACCCCCTTACTTCTGCCGAGTGAAGCGAAGGGTAGGCGCTGGCCCTTCGCGCGCTCTGACGGCCCATCCCCCTGGCTGTGCCCCTAGTCGGCGGTGGGGAGGGGACCGGTTGCTGTACCCATTTGCTTTAGCCTCAGTTTCCTCGTCGAACCATAAACAGGGTCCTCGCCGTGGGGCAGAGGGTCTGGGACGGTGCTGGCTCGCTCTTTGGGCCTCTCGGGGATTCAGTTTTCCCTTCTGTAAAATGGGATTAAATCTGACCAACTCGGATTAACACCCTTGA